ATGTGGGATCCGAACCGGGGCCCTCTGGCGTCCCAAGCCAGTTCTTAACAATCGCGCCACTCAGCCGGCCCCGAATGTTTAAATTTTTAAAAGATGGCAGTTCTCAAATTATACAGGAGTCAAGGGGAATGAGGCCTAAGAAACCACTCTGGTTTCCTCTGGAAACCCTGAAAAAAGCATTTCAGTGGTAGAAGTCAGACTACAAAGGGACCAGTTTAGTCAACAGAGAAAGTGGTGTTATTTATTCTCTTACGAAATTTGATAGGAAAGAAAACATGTGGTGATAGCATGAGAAGGTATTAAGATTTTTAAAAATGTAATACTGCAACTTTAAGAAATATCTTAAATGAGTCTGCAGTAGTTCTGAATAAATGCATTCATCTCCTCTCCCCCTGCTTTCCCTGAAGTTGGGCAACTCCTAGGCCCCCATTCTTTCCTCAACATAGTAGAGAAATAGACCCAATAAACATGATATTTGGTCTTCCAAATGAAGTGGGGTTTTTGTTTTGTTTTTGGTACAGTAAACATAGATCATAGTAGTTTCAGGTGTACAACGTAATGATCCAATATTTGTACATATTGTGAAATGATCACCACAATAAGTCTAGTTAACATCGGTCACCATAATTACAGGATTTTTTTTCTTGTGATGAGACCTTTTAGGATATCCTCTTAGCAGCTTTCAAATATGCGATACAGTATTTTTAACTGCTGTACATTACATCCCCAAGACTTATTTTATAACTAGAAGTTTGTAAAGTTTGTACCTTTTGATTTCCTTCACCCATTTCACCCAGCCCCCCTCCCACCTGTGGCAACAACCAATCTGTTCAGATGAGTTTTTTTTTAACACATTTTAAAAAGTTAGTTTCAGGTGTACAACAGAAGAGGTATTTTTAATAATTAAAGCTAGACTAAAAAAAAAAAGAAATACCCTCACAAAGCACCCTAGAGACATGAACTCTAGATTAAGTATTAAGAAGCTTGGGTTTGGAGAATGGCTCCACTAGCTAAACTGTATATCCGAGGGCAAATCGCTTAAATAAAATAAGGGAACCGTTTTGTTTTGTTTTTAAAACAAAGCTGCTAGTGTCCTCTTGAGCTCTAAAGTTTTATGTCTTGCCCTGAATCCCTTATGGTGAAGATCAAACAAGAGGCAATGTGTTAAAGCGCTGCTCAGGCAGGACAAACACGTTGGCAAGAGTACATACAGCACTTTAGAACGCACACACCTGGGTTCAAAATTGTGCTCCGTTTACAAAATCTGTGACTTCAGGCGAATTACTTAACCCCTTGAGCCTGATTTAATCAACCCTGAATCACAGGGTTATTGTGAGAATGAAATGAATAATCTAACCTTAAATCCTTTCTGGAACTTGACAGATGAACTTACAAATAAAATATCCCTGAGATAATTATGTAAAGGACTTTGTCCATTACAGGTGCTCAATAAATGCACTGTGAACTCAAGATATACAATTATTACTGTATTCTTATTTATCTGAGTGGGAGGTGCCACACACACCGTTGAGCAGTCTCAGTTCCACGTTCCCTTTCAAACCTTTATTTACCTCTAACCTGGAGGTGACAAAAGTGATTAAGAGGACAAAGAAGGGGGTTTCTTTTGCCTTAGGAACTGAGTCTTTTAGAGTTCTTAAATGTTTTGTCAAGCCAGAGGTTAAAGAAAAGAGAAGTGCCACCAGCTCCTTGTCTCTGGTATCAGAGTGCTGAGGGCACTTCCCTCCCTTTGGCTTTACTCCTCAATCACCTCTGGGAAGGCAAACAACAGTCACCACCTTGTTTCCTGTTGGCCCTGGGATTGAAGAGAGTAGGGAAGGTGCAGGTAAAGATGATCTCACTTGCAAAACTCCTGGACTTAGCCCTACTTAGCTGTTCCTCCTGGACCTGCCCCCTTTCTCCCCTGCACCCCACAAGTGTTTGTACCCTGTTTTCAGGACAGTTTATAAGACATTCTTTCTTTCTTCTACCCAGTAACTGAGAAAAGAATCAGGGGGCAGACTTTTATCAGAATACCGGGCTACTAGGTGAAAGGTCGTAAACAACTCTGTCCAGGAGGGCTCCATTTCAGAACATGCCCTGGCTACAAGCCTGGTAAGGCAGCTGCTGCTGCCAAAACAAAATAGTTTTTTGGCATTTAAGGGAACCCAGGCGTAACAGAGAGCAAATAAGTGGTCTGTACTGAATTCTGCAAAATGGAAAAGAGAAACTGGAACCTAAGAGAGAAACTTAGAGCAAGAGAGAATCGTATTAAGATGTTTTTAAACTCAAAAATTCAGTATTCATAGCCGTGCCCAAATAAAGATCAGCATTCGCTTTTTCTAAGATGTCCCAAATCACCACCACCCTGATCTATTACTACCTACCTCTCCCTCCCATCCCCACAAAATGTACATACATGGGTACATATCACACAGTTTAACAATATTGAGTCATGTATTTCTTTGTAAATACTTTGATATTTCTTATTTATGTACACTTTCATACCCATCAAACTGGAAATTCTCCCAGAAGCCATACTTTTGAATATTAAAAATTTCTTTAGTGCCAGTTCCACCTTCGCTGCTCGAGAAAATTAAGTCAATATTGTTTACTGATTGAAAACAACTCAGGCCTCATTGGTTATCTTTCTAGGATAGGGTGTTGCCTCAAACCACACATCCTAAGGATCAACATGTTCTCTTTTCTGTTGGTGGGAATTGTGCTGTGTGTGTGTGTGTGTGTGTGTGTGTGTGTGTGTGTGTGTGTGTTCGTTCTCCAACAATCTTGATGCCTGATTCTTGGGTTTGCTAATATTGGGGTTAAGCTATATAACTTGTTAGCCATAGGGTGTCAACCCAGTTAGGGGGTATGAGGAAGAAGGATCTTGAAGAGCCACAGATAGCCTTTTTGCTGAGAGGGTAGGATTTCTGTATATTTTAATGCTTATTTACTTCCCCATCTCAATCTTGGGGACATTATCTTCCTCTTTCCAGCACAAGAAATGAGGTAATCATCTCCTGATGCCCCCACACAGAAATGGGAGAGGCTCAGGAATCAAAGAAAAGGGTGGGGGGAAGAATCCCTGTATCTCTGCAACAGTCACCTTATCACATTTATGAATAAGTTCTCAGGAGTCAACTCCTGAGCTATCTCATGGCCAGCGAGGGGACAGTCCATCTGACAGCCACGTGACAACACGGGATGAGTCAGGGGCTCTTTTAATTTGAACATACGATGTTCTAGAGACCCATCTGTCTTCTTTCCTTTCTGACCGATTTCTAAACGGCTTAGGAAAAAGCTTTGAAAAGAGAGAGGTCTTCCTTCAAACAGGAATACAGCTCTCTCCCCACTGACACTTGTTATAAACAAGAGAAAGTACCCGCTTTTAACTAGAAGGCTGTGAGGTGTGTGGGCTACAGATATAGGTACATACTTTTGATTTAGTGGGTTGGAGAGGGATGACGACAATAAAGAGGGAAAGTAACTCGGAAGAAAGTGGAGTGAAGCATCCACCCCCCTCCCCACACCCCTTCCTGGAGAAGTCAGAAATAATCAGAGCCTAAAGAACACGCCTTACTAAAGTGGCCAGAAGGTAGCTGGGAGAACATAAACAAAGTGTTCCCCAATTTTTCAGGTAGAAACTAGAAAGATGAGGGTATGGATAAGCAACAGGATGTGAACACGCCCTTACTATTTCCGTTCCAGAGAACAGAGAGAACAGAGAGAACAGACTAGAAAGTACAGGGGGTGAGGAACAGCAGAGGCGAGAGGGCTAGAGAGGGAGGGAGAAAGGAGGAGGGAGGGAGAAGGCGATCAGTCGCACAAACCCGCTTTCCAATGAGGGCTGAAGAGCGGCTTAAAATCTGTGACCAGTTATCCTGGTTTTTCGTGTTTGGTTTTTTTTTTTTAAACGGAGATGCGGAGCAAGAGGACAAAGGGGGTCTTCCTGAACAGTAACATCAACAGTCCCTGTCCCCCACTCATCCCAAAGTATTCTTGGACCTCTGGGATTGTTTTTCACACGACTAGCGATTTGTGAGCCGGGAATAAACGGGCGCTTCTAAATTAATTGTCCTGACTAAGGCGAGGCATGAAATTCCCTCATAAGCACAGTTTCCTGTTACCTCCAAACGCCGCTCCCAGCCCTGAAGCATCCGCACCCGCCCTCCGAAAGCCACCAGCCCTGGATACATTTTTAGGGTCAGCGAGGTCCTCCTTCCTCCCGGCCCAAGGGAAGCCGCTCCACCGCCCTCCGCCCCCTCCTCCCCGTGAGGCTTCGGTGCACAACAACCATTTTCCCCGCCAGGAGCACTCCGTGTCCACGCGCCGCTGCGAGCTCGCTGATTGGCCGGGCTCCTGGTAAACAAGGACCGGGCAGCCAATGGGAGGGCTGTGCACGAGGGCAGCACGAGCCTCCGGGCTAGCGCTCGCGTGGCCCAGCCAACCCCGCTACTATATAGAGCTGTTTCCGGATCCCAGTTGGAACTCCCCTCTGGTTTTCGCAGACGGAGTGCAGGCAGCCAGCTGGCCAAACCCTGGAGCGCACCTCCGGCTATTAGAGGAAAGAAAGCTTATTTTTCTCTTGAGATTTCTTGGCATAACCAGCAGCTTAAATTGTTCTGAAATCTTTTCAAAAATTGAGTAGAATTGAAGAGATAACCTTAAATTATTGCAAAGGATCCTTGGACTTAGGGTTTTGTTTTTTTATCTCTCTGGTTTCCAACTCTTAAGCCAACCCAGCCCAATTATGGTGATGTTCAAGAAAATCAAGTCTTTTGAGGTGGTCTTTAACGACCCTGAAAAGGTGTACGGCAGTGGGGAGAAGGTGGCTGGCCGGGTGATAGTGGAGGTGTGTGAAGTCACTCGAGTCAAAGCTGTCAGGGTCCTGGCTTGCGGAGTGGCCAAAGTCCTGTGGTTGCAGGGCTCCCAGCAGTGCAAACAGACCTTGGAGTACTTGCGCTACGAAGACACGCTTCTCCTGGAAGACCAGCCAACAGGTGAGTGGCCCAGACATGCTCTGCTGGAGGGTGAAAGCTAATTTAAGAAGAGAATGGAAATGAATAAACGGAGCCTATACTAGATATTTTAAGTTGCTCCGGTTGAGTGCTTGGAGTTCTGTGTTGCGTCTCTCTTTTCGTTTTAATTTGCAACCCTTCCCCCCCCCCCAAAAAAAAAGTGATTAATACAACTTTTTATGATGCTGTGTTTTGAAGGTGATCCTGCAGGATGTTGCCTTAGCTATTTAAAGAGATTTTCTTGTGTGTGTGCACGCATAAGTTGCTTGTTCTTTGATGTTTGAGGTGATAGTAGCTTAACCCTCAACCTTGCAGGGCTGCAACTTTTTGCCCAACAACATGCATCAGAATTTCTCATTTAAAAATGCAAGGGATGAATACTAGTGTACTGCAATACTCTTGCATGCCACCCAAGAATTCCTTATCGCAGGGATGCATTTTAAGTGTAACAAGAAACCTAATGGCTACTGGCTTTTCTCTCCCTGCAGGTGAGAATGAGATGGTGATCATGAGACCTGGAAACAAATATGAGTACAAGTTCGGCTTTGAGCTTCCTCAGGGGTAGGTATCAGCTAAATGCATCGTTGGACTTTTCTGTCTCTAAAAATCTTCCCCGCCTTTGATCACCTTCTGTTCTTGGAGAGCATATTTAAGTTAATTATTTCCTTTTACTTGACACAGGCCTCTGGGAACATCCTTCAAAGGAAAATATGGGGCTGTAGACTACTGGGTGAAGGCTTTTCTTGATCGCCCCAGCCAGCCAACACAAGAAACAAAGCAAAACTTTGAAGTGATGGATCTAGTGGATATCAGTACTCCTGATTTAATGGTGAGGTTCATTTTAAGATTGTATGGGTCTCAGGGATGATACGTCAAATGTCTTGGGCATTAGATTGAAGCACCTTAGGGAATCAAGTCCTAAGCCATCAAGGTGGGAAGGCTGCCTACTCTAGGTAGGCAGTGGAAAGGAAAGAGAAGCAGAGAAAAGATCTGTAGACATTTTCAAAATACCTGTTCTCCCTCCATTCTACTTAGGCCCCTGTGTCTGCTAAAAAGGAGAAGAAAGTTTCCTGCATGTTCATTCCTGATGGGCGGGTTTCTGTCTCGGCCCGAATTGACAGAAAAGGATTCTGTGAAGGTAAAAACCTAGAGCTTAAAACAGTAGACTGATAAAACAGCATCTGTGGGGGGTGTGGACAGGGACAGAAGAAAAGTCGTTAACTGTACTGAGCATCTATTTTTCATCTTTCTGATTGCTAGGTGATGAGATTTCCATCCATGCCGACTTTGAGAATACATGTTCCCGCATTGTGGTGCCCAAAGCTGCCATCTTAGCCCGCCACACTTACCTTGCCAATGGCCAAACCAAGGTGCTGACGCAGAAGTTGTCATCAGTTAGAGGCAATCATATTATCTCGGGAACCTGTGCATCATGGCGTGGCAAGAGCGTTCGGGTGCAGAAGATCAGGCCTTCTATCCTGGGCTGCGACATCCTTCGAGTTGAATATTTCTTGCGGGTGAGTGGGTGAGGCTAGAGAGAGAAATTGTTCACCTGTCAAAAGAGCAGCGATGTCTTCTCTAGATCTCTAGTCTAACAAACCTGCCTTCTTCCTTTATAGATCTACGTTAGCGTCCCTGGGTCCAAGAAAGTCATCCTTGAACTGCCCCTGGTAATTGGCAGCAAGTCGGGTCTGAGCAGCCGGACGTCCAGCATGGCCAGCCGAACCAGCTCAGAGATGAGCTGGGTGGACCTAAACATCCCCGATACCCCAGAAGGTGAGCCAGACCTAATATCTTTTCTTCCCCTCTGGCCTGCTTGGGTTTTAAAATGGGGCCAGGCCTCTTATCCTCATTCTTTTTCTCTCTAGCTCCTCCTTGCTATATGGATATCATTCCTGAAGATCACCGATTGGAGAGCCCCACCACTCCTCTGTTAGACGATACAGATGGTTCTCAAGACAGCCCTATTTTTATGTATGCTCCTGAGTTCAAGTTCATGCCACCACCTACTTACACTGAGGTGAGAATTTTCATTTCACCGCTACGTTTATTCCAAGCCTTCTAAGGAAGTTAACTTGGAGAGATTGCTAAAACCGGGGTTTTCTTTTTATTTCTAAAACTAAATGGTCTGTTTTTTGTTCCTCTCAGGTGGATCCCTGCATCCTCAACAACAATGTGCAGTGAGCATATAGAAGAGGAGAAGCAGCAGTACCTACTTGTTTCTTTCCACCTCTCTTGATGGACTCGAACTTTTTCAGACACTGAACAGTCTCTACAGTGGGGGATGGGTCCACCCTAGCCTCTGACTCCCCAATGTAGGAGGAGATCAGCCGCCCATCTCCGGGGCCTTCAAGAGGGCACACTCGTCCTCAGCCAGCGAGATGTGATATCGGGGTGTTTGCTAGATGGGTTTAAAAACACTAGAAAAACTCAGGCCCACCCCACATTCTCAGATCTCCTTGAAAACTGAGGCATCTTCAGTAGTTTCGAATAAGGGGTAGGAATGGCCTGCTGGTATGGTCTTCCCAAATGTTTTTTGGAGAGGAGTATCGATTGTTAGAACAATATCAGGTCTTGAACTTTGTAGATTTGTTATAACAATATCAGATCTTGAACTTTGTATCGTGTGGAGCAGGGCCAATTTAACAAACTGGGAAAATGAAAAAACTCATGGCCAAAACTTGGGGAAAAGGAGGTTCTTAAAATCATTGCTGCCCTTTCCTTTGTACACTTACAGAAAAAAAAACACAAAAAACAAAACCCCAAAGCTGATCTGGCCTGGCCTTTTGGAGAGAGCTTCTTATGTGATTTAAAGGGAAGAAGCTCTAAGTTTGTCTTTGCTTAGAATGTACTTTAATCAGGCTTACAGCAATTGTAACTATGCCCCACCAAAGGTCTTAAAAGCCATGTTTAGAGCCTGTTGCACTGTGTTCCCCTGTTACAAACATCTTCATGTGGGAGAATGTGTTTTTCCATGTGACTCCTTGGAATTAATTCTGAGGTGATGTTTTTAGCACTTTAGTTCCTGTCAAATATTTTGATGATGATTATTATTTTTTTTACTATCTCTAATGTAAGCTAAAACTGGTCTATGTCTCTTAAGGGTAAGCACAAAGACAAAAAAAAAAGGTATTACTCATTACTTTCGAGACTTTGTCCCAGTGTACAGAATTCTGTAATTCTGACACTAATTATATGAGAAGGGTTGCTGCTATCAGCTGTGCCCACTGTGACATCCCTAAACTTTTGGAGGAACTCGAGATCAAGATGCCCCAACACTGATCAGAACCTCCAACATTGCCATAAAAATCTAGAGGGCAGGTGTTCACAGAAGCCCAGGGTCCCCCTTCCTGCTCAGTGTTAGGGGGCCTGGGATGTTGACAACCCTCTCAACTGCAGCCGCTAGCACTTGGAGTTCCCCTCAGCCTTAGCACTTTGTTCACTGATCTGTGTCAGAGCACTGAGCTCCACCCTTTTCTGAGAGACTACGTGGGCTGAAGGTGGTTTCGTGTTTTTGTTTTTTAATTGTGTATTCTTTTGTATGATGACAAACTATATTTTGTACTTTACCAGATATATTTTCACCCCAGGTGGGGATATTCTTTGTAAAAAAAAATAAAAATAAAGGTTTTTTTTTTAATGGTAAAAACTTTTGTTTTCCTGTCTGTGAGATGGTGCTGGAGAAGTTATTAGAAAGTGTGCCTGATGGAGATTTTCCCTACTTCACAATTCATTCTTGAAAACCCTGTAGAGTCCATTACCGATGGGCCCTAATGATTCTAGTCTGAGTGAGGGCTTGGAGGTGAAGAGAAGAGGAATCTGAGCTACATTTACTCTTTTCCAATTCACTAAAGAGCTAGTTGTGGGGTGGCCGGTTAGTTCAGTTGGTTAGCGCACAATGCTCATAGCACCAAGGTTGCTGGTTTGATCCCCACGCCCTCCACAACTAGATAGAAACCAACAACTACTTGACTTTGGAGCTGATGGGTCCTGGAAAAAAACACTGTTCCCCAATTTAAAAAAACGAGTTGGGATCTTCTGGTGGTCTAAGCTATAATATTTTCTACATCCATAGCTAATCATTACTGAATTCCAATTTTGGAGTGCACGAGCTTGTTTTAAATTTTTAAAAGGAGCTCTTGAAATACAGGGAAATGAGGTTTGCGAGGGGATTTGGTAGGAAAGGTTTACGATTCTGTCTTATAATTTGGCTTCACAGTTTCCAGTATAAACCTGGTTTATATACAATAAGACAAGGTAATTATTTAAGACTTAAGGATTTAAAGTTAACGAGTATTAAATTACTTGAAGGCTGCTCCTATTTTTATCTCTGCAGTTTCTACCATAGTTCCTATTGAAGCGCATAATCATAATTCAGTAAATGTTTGTTGAATACTCAACCCCACCCTAATCCCTTAGGATGTGTGTGCTTCAGCAGTTCCTATTTCTTCCTTTTAGGGTAATAACAATAGATTGATACCACAATCCCACTTCTAATTGAAATGATTTTTATTCCTAAAGGAGTGACTAGGATGAGAAACGCTGAGATCGCAGGAGTTAATTGACTTTCTGGTTTCTGGCTCATTTAAACATTGGTAGACAGATCCAGTCCGGGCCCTTATTTGGGGTTTGGCCTTTCTGTGGACCTTCACATACTAATGCCAAACGTCAGGTTCCTGGAAGTTCATAAAATCTATGTGAATTGAACAGAAAGTGAAATTGAAAAGATTAGTTTCCCTTTCAATCTTTGTTTGTGTTTGTCTTTCGTTCTCAGTAGCTCTTTTGCCCTTTCCTGGCTCCTCTGTGGTTTTTCCTTACCAAGGCGTCAATGGCTTTCTATTGCCATGGTGACTCTCACCTTTACTCTGACCTCTGCCTCCTCCTTTACTTACCTATTCAAGAATTTAGTGGTGCCTTCCTTTTTCAAATCTGTGACCAAGAAACTAGGTCAAAGTTGATGGAAAAGTTTTTGTCTGCAGTTGGTCTTCCAGGGTCTGGGAGGATGGAACAAAAACGAGCAAGCCAGAGAGCAGGCCAAAGCCACGGAGAGGCCACAGAACACAAAGCCTGGGTGTGTGCACGGCCTGGCTACTGATACTTGATCTGAGAAGAGGATGGCAAGGTGACGGTAGATAACTTACACCCAGGTCTGCTAGAGATTTGATCCTCCAAGGATCAAATATGTTCTGGAACATAGGCATCCCCTCCTGATACCCTAATACCTCAAATCCAGCACTGTCCGACAGAACATTCTACAATGATGGAAATGTTCTATATTTGTGATAATACGGTAGCCACTAGCCACACGTGGCTACTGACCTCTGAAATGAGGTACTGTGACTGATGAACTGAATTTTTACTTTTGTTTCATTTCATTAATTTACATTTAATAAACTCCATGTGATTAGTGACTATCATAATGAACAGTGCGGCCAAGATCTGAAGAAGTAAATAAATAGCTCTAGCTGTTCACCCAGAGGAAACTCACCCTTCCCTTAGAGTGAAAAGCCCCCACTGGACTTCCTTTGCCTTCTATACACAGCTTCTACCTCACCCCAGGACATTTTCTGCATGTAAGCTCACTTAAGTTCCCTTTCCTGGGTACTGGCCCAGCTGTTTCTCCACCAAAGTGGGCAGATATTTTGGGTCTCCCTTCTCCATGCTCTTCTCAGATGCCTTTTAATTTTTAAAGTGCTATCGCCAGTATGTTGAGCCATTAGAGGAGATCCATTTCTTGGTATCATTTATTCATTAGGCCCAATCTGGTATAGGAAGATTTGAGAGAAGAGAGCTAGAGAAAGTGAAATGAACAACGTAGGTACTTCCCCAGCCCGAGTCCTTGGCTACCTGGATATCCCTGAACAGACTGGAAACTCAAGGATGTAGTAACTTGGCTGAGGCGCTGGGAGGCAAAAGTGTGGGGAAAGGGCCTGACTGAGCGCCTGGTCAACAAAAAATAATCACATGGGAGCTGAAGGGTACAAAGTGGGGTGAACGAGTAACTTTTGTGCAGTTCTTTCAACAGCATACAGACCTTTTCCTGGCACTCTTTCCTTGAACCATCTCTAGGTGATGGAATGCATAAGGTGGATATGGAAAATATTTTACTGGCCTTTCAATGGCTTAGTCCCTGTCCCAAGCACCCCGACCTCAATAGTTTGGGGCTGGGAGAGCAGAAACTTGTGCCCCATTCTCTGTTCTGACTCCACATCCGCCTCCCTTTCCTAAGCTAAAAATAACAACAAAAAAACCCTCAGAGATGGCTGCAGATCCAACAGATAAGTCTATAGCCTGGAAAAAGTTCAAGGATCAGCCTTCCTATGCTATTAAGGAGAAATAGTATAGTGTGGTAGTTAAGCACATATACACTGGGGCCAAACTATCTAAATTCAAATCTTACTTCTACCGTTTGACAAGCTATCTGACTTATTTGAAGGTATTGCATCTCGTTGGATTTTATCCTGTCCCCGTCGTGCCCCACTCCCCAGGTGGACTAGACTGAGTAGCACAAAAACCAGTGGAGATGAGGCCCAATTTAGCCTATTTAGACCATTCCTGTTTTGTCCTGATCTTGCCCTTGGCTTGGCCCTGTTGTACTCTCCATTGGGCCTGTTACGTAAGGATAAAAAGAATAAACAAACTCTGAAGGCTGGGATTTTCTGGTCATCTCCAGGCCATGGAGTGATGGGAGAAAGAGGAGGATGGAGAAAACGAGACCTAATTGTGAATCCCAAAAGCTTTGAGCCCTGGGATGTCAAGCAAGGTCTATTCTCATTCCTTATGGGGTGATGAAGCCGCTGACTCTCTCTCCAGATCCATCAAGTGGTCAGTAAACAGGTTCTTGGAAATGTCTGTCTGGGTGCCCAGTTTGGATATTTTTAACCACCTGGACATATGGACGGATGAAGGGTTTCAGTTGCTGGATGGGAAGGTGGGGTCAGGGTCGTGAGAACTGTGTTTCCCTTTTATGGTTCCCTGGCTAAAGCTCTCTCCCTCTCCACTTCACCTGTCTAAAATTCAGATTTCCTCCTTCATCTATCCAGATTGACAGGGTTTCTCTCTATTCCTGGTTTTTCATGCTTGACTCACCTTCCCACTCTGAGGAATCTTTGGTTTCTGTTCCAGACCACAAGATGTTTTTAGCTCCATATCTGTGTAAATCAAGGAAAGGGTGGTTGGGCAGTGACCCGTTCTCCTTTGCTCCCCTGGAGCAAGGTGCAGCCTGCCAGTGGTACACAGAAGCTTCTCTTCAGTTCTACCTCCCCAAGCTGTCCTGCACCCCACTAACCCCCAACTCATGAGAACAGAATTTGAGACCTTGGGAGCCCCGATTTGGGCCTTATATTCCTTTGGAAAGT